CTAGGCACAAGGGCGACAACCACCATCAAACACACTCACCGATCAGTCTCAGCACAGACGCTACGATGACATCAGGGGTGTATGCAATGTTCGAATGTCCTTTCCTGTACTTGATCCACTTGTCCATTACAGGCCACAGCTCCTTACTAGAAAACAACAGGAATAGACACATGCTGGTCACTGTGCAGAGTCCAGACAATGCCACAGGACTATAATTCTGGCTTTTCTTTCCAGCCCCCAACCCTTTCTGTTTCCAGATGACAGAGCGAGAGAACAGTGACAAGCAGGAAGAACAGGATCTGCAGTCACTGAGAGGACAAGGACAGAGCATTCGGATAGGTGCCAGCTCTGGTCCCTCCTCTGTTCCTGGGAAAGAATGGCCTGCCTCCCTGAGCTCATCTGTGATTCCACCTGGGCTCACGCATCCTCAGACAGGCCCTAGGCAGAACTCTGTCATCTCCTTATGTAGGACCAACTGTAACATGCTTCTCTGTATGCACAAGGACCTCCTCACAGACAATCACCTTGACGTAGTGATCACTCTGAAAGTGGAAATGAGTCAGTTCTCACTGTGAGACTCATGTCTGTCTTTCCTGGGATCAGGACAGTGAAAACGCGATTCTCCTGCACAGACAGCTCCTTGTAAAGGTGACTCTCACAGAAACCAAGTATTTCAAAGCCACAAGCCACCAGCTGTGTGGTGAGTGGTTTAACACCATATCCTCTCTTAAACCAGGCTTTCTCAGCCGGAGTTCAAAAAAAAAATTTTTTTTTTTTTAATTTGGGGGACAATTTCCTCCTCTCTCAAGGGATAGAGCATGGTGAGAGCCAGAAACACAGACAAGCAGAGAAAGCTCAGCAAACTAAATTCAGGGGCTGTCGGAACCAGGATCCACCCCTCCTAGTGAGGAGCAGCTGACTCGTAATCTGAGCACTGCTGTTCTTCTGGTTTGTTTTCTAGCCAAGTGTGGCAGCACTTCCTTATCTCTGAGGTGCCTGTGTCCATGCCATTCTGGAGAGGTGAGGGGACACAGGCCCTCGTGCTCCAGTCTCTTCTGGAAAGACATTACTGGGAGTAATGAAAAGTACTAGCAATCTACAAGAAACAAAACAGGGGGATTTAATGGTGACTCAGACATTTTAGGGTTTTTTTGTTAAGTCTTATACAAAGGTATTTGTATTTCAAGTGCCTTGTGTAAGAAAGAAACACAACTAAGCCACACTCAGCATTAACAGGTTATCTTCCCTTAACCCAGCTTTACTTTAAATCAGCAAAGCTGCTCACCTTATGATGTTATCATGTGTCCAAATCCACCTCTGGTGGCAGCAGAGGAGATCAATGGCAAATATGTATTCCCAAATGTTTGCACTTAAGTCTTCACCAAACTCTTCACTGGACTGAAATTCTGTTTTGGGGCATAGCTGTATGGTCAAAAGCAGCTTAGAAACCACGATTCCAACATCTATAGGAGCATTCTGGCAAACAAAAATACACATATTAAAAAGCAACATCTTAGGATGTTAGTAATCTGAGACTGTAATGAGCATCCGCCACACCGCCATCTACCCTAAGGGGAACTGAAGCAGCCTGAGTCTGAACTAGAAACTGGTAGTCACAACCAGAGACTCTGGGGCCACCATCCCAGCAGTCAGAGAGCTGAGCTGCAGTCCAGATAGAAGCACAGACTGCAGTCAGCACAACCGGGGAATTAAGGTTATAACCTGCAGACTAACATTTCAAATTCCATAAAATCTGCTGCCTTCTGCGAAGGTTGATCAATCTGCCCTTTCCACAGCTACTGGATGATGACGGCCAGCTTCCTTCACCTTTGAGGACAGCATTCTCGGCTCTGTCTGTGTTTTCACCTGTGTGAGCAGCTCAAGGACTCCTCTTCCCACTGAGTAAAAAGTCACATGGACACACCACTGACTGAAGGCATCATGTCTCTCCACAAAGGGCATACCAGATTGTACCTAGTTTTCTTTCTCTGAAACATACATCTTTTTGTGGTGAAAAGCTTCCTTTCCCTAAAAGGGCCGGGGTGGGACCGCAGGGAACTCCGTGGTGGGACTGCAAGGAACTCTGTGAACCATGCAACCTCAACAAGGCTGAACAGCTCAGCATCCCACCAGCACTGCAAGACAGTCCTGGGGGCAAACACAGGTTCAGATCAACACAGAACAAAGCCTGAGCTTGGATATCTGTTTGAGCTACTGACACTTCTCAGGTTTCCAAGAGTACATTTTCCTGGAGAAGTCTGTGACTTGGCAAGTGGAGAAGATGCACAAACTCAGATACATCTAGTCACACTGATCTAGTGCTAAGAGTCTGCAGCAGTACTGATTATGGAAAATGCTGGGATTCTCAGTCTAGGTTGTAGTTATGGTTAAAGTATCTGGTAACGGCATGATGAATTACAATGTCTAGAAGACAGACTCCATTATGAAAACAAACATTCACTGCAGTTCATATTCCATATTCTCAACTTGACTTTTTTTTAATCAAGAATTTTTTTCATTCATCTTACACACCAATCAACCAATCAAAGATTCCCCTCTTCCCTCCTCCTGCCCCCCCTCCCACCTTCCCCTCCCAACACCCCCACAAGAAGCCAAGGGCCTCCCATGGGGAGACACATCCAGTAGAGGCAAGTCCAAGCCCTTCCCCCTGTCTCAAGGCTACACGAGGTGTCCCACCATAGGTAGTAGGCTCCAAAAAGCCCGCTCATGCACCAGGGATCAACTTGACTTTTAACATTCAGAGGTTAAAGGCTTAACAAGATTCTACTTGTTAGAGCTGAAGGTCCAGTGTGAAGCTTCTGAGGAATATATCATTTATGATTAATTAAAATGTTGATAACTAAATGATTCAAGTTTATAAAGACTAATTGTTTAGGAGATGTAATCTGTTGTATGTGCCTTAACACCACACTAATCAATGGTCAAAGTACGGTCACTCGTACTTTTTCAACTATTACCTGATTTATGAATAAAACAAGAATCACAAAGCTAAAAGCTTTAAAAATTGGTTGAACTTTAAGCCTTAAAACCATGTACTACCTTATACCAAGTCACTATTTTTCTACACAGAAGCTCTTTGCGGGTTTTGTCATCTCCATGGAATGGACATGAAGGTAGCGTGGCCACGACAGGCTGGAGAACCCTTCCTGGTGTGGCAGCTCTGACAGGGATACCTTACATGGAAGGTCAGGTCCTCAAACGTCTTAGACTCAGAGCATCACAGAGTTACAGATCAGGAATATTCAATGTATAAAGTCCACACAAGGATTTCAAACTCGGGGGAAAAAACAATTCTGAATCTCAAACACTTCTAGTCACATGCATCTTATATAAGGTACACTGCTTCAGGACGAGGGCAGAGGGGACGAGTGTGGTAGCTTCTGGTTGCATCTGGAACTTTCTTTTCTTTTATCCCATCCCCCTTTTTATTTAGTTATTTGATGCTGGGATGGAACTTTAGCCATTGTGCAGGCCGGGCAAGTGCTGTGCCCTCTCCACTCTCAGGACCAATAACTTAGTAGAGTCCATGACACCAACTTACAAGCTGTGTGTGCATATGTGTATGTTTTGTTCGCTTTGAGACGAGGTCTCTCTATGTAGCCTGGCTTTTCTAGAACTGTTACATGGACCAGGCTGTCCTTGAACTTAAAGAGATTCACCTGCCTCTGCCTCCTGAGTGCTGGAATTAAAGGCACGAGCCACACAGACCAGGGTTGTGCCTTGCTGTTTGCTAAAGAGGTGGGTACAGACTTGTGTTCCCTTCCTTTCATAGATATAAATCCCATACAGATTAGCTCAAAGAATAATAGGAAAGCACAATGACATGCATATAAACTATATGTGCATATAAACTATAGGGAATTTTCTAAAACATTAAAGTATTGCATGCTCATAAAAACCAGAAAAGAACAAGGTAAAAACAAACCCTACACCAACTTCAGCATCTATTTTTATAGTTTATTATTGTCAACTAGATTCTCATTAGGTGAGATCTATGACTAAGCAAGTGTCAATCTGAAGATTACTTTAATGAACCAGTAATTAAAGAAAAAAATACAATAAAAGGTTAATGTAAAAAGAAAGCATTTGGAATAAAATCAAGCCCCATCAACTGGAAATAATGATGTAGATGGTCAGGTTCACAGAAACTCCTAACAGGAGGAAGCTGAGGCTAGCAATCTTTCACCTAAGTACTTTTTGCAGAATCAAGTACCTTACAGTCCCTGTCTCAGCAGATTACAGACCCATGGGTTTCAGTCATAAATTAGTGTAATTTCATACATTTTGGAGGTCTGGAATTTTTCCAGGGAAGTCATGGATACTTAATGAATAAACTGCTTAAAATTAAGTTAACATGATGTTTTAAAGGCTCTACTGTGAAGAACAGTATCTCTAAAATGCCCAAGAACAAGCTGGTAGGCCCCTGTCACGGAGCCTCAGGAGCTCAGACTGATTTCCAGAGCCAACGCAGCGGAAGGGAGAACAGGCCCCTGCGACTGACCTGACATCCACACACACGCTGAGAACACACACACACAGACAGGACACACAAACACAAGTATCTTTAAAATGCTGAACAACTTGAACAAAAGGAAACACAAACCTTCTCCAAGTACCACAGACAAGAGACAGAAAGCCCACTGTACCTTTTCCCAGCTGAGGAACGCCCTCAAGCAGTTCAGCACCTCCCCTCGGGCCCGCTGCCGGGCGACCAGCTGCATGGCCTCGCTGACGGCCGACTGGGAGAGAAACACCTCACGCCACATGTTGGCAATGAACAGAGTCAACTTCTCAGATTCCGGAAAATCTGTAAGAAAGAGAGGGGTAAAAAGAGCCTTTATGTCTCACCTAGGAAACTGCTTTAACAACCAGGCATGGACTTTTACTTCCCAAGAGCCTGACAAGGCACCCGCAGCTACAGGCCTGAGTGGACGGCGAGAGGGCTCCAGTCTCCAATGTCTCCATCTTGGGTACTTCCTTAGGTTCTCTTCTGTTTTGAGACAGGTCTCATTCTGAAGTTCAGACTGGCCTCTAACTCCCAAGTGCTGGGATTATAAGCGTAAGCTGCCACATCTGGCTTGGCACACTGTTAGTTAGACTTTAAACCTATACAAATGGCTAACGGCAGTGTGGAAACAAATTGTCTTGTAATATTGTGTATCAAATGGGAAAATTCTGACCCTGAAGACATTTAGAGGTAAGATGTTTTAACATCTCTCTCCTTTGATGGATCCCTTCCTCCTGGCCAATACCACCTTTTCATATTATATTTTATATTTTTGTACAAGGTTTAAAATATAACAAGGTTTCTAACATGGAACAGTTTTCTTTTTTTATGTATGTAATTATTTTGCTGCAAATTCTTCCAGTCTCCAGGCTTCTCTCTTTTTAAATAAACTTGACAAACAGTAACATATATAAAGAATACCTCCTTCCCAGATGGAGAACCCTGAGTCTGTTTACTATCAGTACAAATCAGACAGACATGCTTTCATGTACCGTGTGCTCTCTCTGACACTCAGCCTGGCTTCCACGCTCTACCTGTGATGCTGCAGGCATGAGGAGTCTGCTCACTTGCACAACTATGCCATCTTCAGTTACTCAATAGTTGACAGTGTGCTGTCCTGTCCATTCACCTCCGGACAGACATCTGCCTCCAACTACAGGCTACTGTGGTTAATAGTCTGTGTAAGGACGTCTCCATTCCTGTTGGATATGGACCTAGAAGTGGTACTTCTTACTATGTAATGAGTGTCTTAATTTTACAAACAACACCAGTTACCCAGTGCAGTTAATGGGAGGAGTTTTGTCCTGTTTGTCATGAAGGCGTGCCTGAATAAAGTTTTCTCCTACCTTGTCTATTATTACTGAGTAGAGCATAAACTTGATGCACTACTTTGATGTGTTGCTTTGTACAGCTGTTCTTACCTTCCACATGCCCCTTCCTAGATCTGATCCACATTCTTCACTAGACAGGGGATGCTTCCCTGAGTCCTGCCCCAGACTATCAAATCCACTTTCCAAAGTACAATCCAGTTACTCAACAAATGCCTAACGGCTGTAAACTGTACACTGTTCTGGGGTGGGACAGAATTTGTCCTTTTAGACTAAACAATCTAATGGGAGAGAGACCTGTGTCCTACAAAGGGAAGTGCCACAAAGACAACAGGAAAATATGGGACAGAAGGTTAAGGACACCTGAGAAATCACAGCGTGAACGCTGATGGACAGACATTTGTAAGAACAAAGCCTGCGGTCTGAATGAGCCTGTGACAAAGAACAAGAAACCCACGGGACTTGCTGAACCACACACCTCTCCTCTCTGCTGCGTTGTGTTCCTGTGCTACCATGGACGTCAGCCTTTGATGGCCACACGGCATGCCCCCCATGAAGGATTACTGAACTAAACAGTGTGGGCACACTGACATCGACTTCCTGGCACAAGACGACGCTGTGTTCCTATCTTTCCTTGTTGGTGAGTACTGATGGTCTGCTGTCACAAAGGACTCCTACTGTGGATCCACAGAGGAGACGAGGCGGCTGCAGTGAAGGGGAGTCAAGTGAGGACAGTACCGCTCCTCCACCTGCTCCTCATCACTAAGGCTCTTCTTTTCAGGAGGCTGCAGATCCCTCTCATGGTTACTGTCCTTTAGCCAGGACACAGCACTGTGGACAGTCATCGTACAAGGATTCCCATTATTGTGCAACACAGGAATAAAGTGACTATACAGTGGACCACGAAGAGACAACTACACAAACAGAAGTCCACGTGCCAGTGTAGTAAGTCCAGGTACATTCAGTGGAGAACTAGCAGGGTCCAGTATATTAGAGTCACTTAAGCCCTCCAATGCACCAAGGCTTTTTTGAGACAGTATTTCTAGACCAGCCTAGCCTCACACTCAGAGATGAAAAACATTATTTTTAAAGATACAAGCAGCTGAAAAGACAGGAGCAAGTGTAAGGTGAAAGTGTAACAGCAGGTGTTCAACACACATGCTGCAGGCTGCACACACCTTCTTTCAGAAGGCTGTAACAGAACAAGCGAGCTCTTTCCAAGTCTCCAAGCTGCCGACAAATGCCCACATATACTCTGCACAGTGCATGGATGTAACTGTGGTCAAGAGATGTCTTCTGAACCTTTAGCTCTGAGAGAATAGAGCGAAGTAAGTATTCTCCTAAATGCTAGATTGGGAAAAAGATAAAAGAATTATGGTTAGTGATGAGACCCAATCCTAATTAGTTATCTATCAGACAAATAAAGCTTGCAGAACACCAAAAGGGAGGCCACAATAACTGATAACAACTTGTCTAGTATGGTAGCCAAGGGGATAGCCAGAGGTGAGAATTCCCCATGACTGACCTCTTGGGATCAGTCAGGTTACAGATACCACAGCAAATCTATAAATACACCTCCTTGCCTGTGACAACATGGCTATCCCTTAAATTATAATTTACTGTTTCTCTGGTAAGTATCCATGTGGGCTAATTCTACCCCATTTTCATTTATTCCACTATTTAGATTTTATGAGATTAGGTGTTATTTTTCCTTCCCCTGAAAGAGAATTCTCATTAAAAATCTGATAGCCATTCACACAGAAGACAGTCTCTCAAAGACACCTGAGCTCTTAGGCTCTCTGAACAGTAGCAATCAAAAACAACGTATTTAGTCCATGAGGGCATCTGCATGTGACAGTGGCCACTGAAGAGTGACCCAGCAGGCACTGGAGTCACCTGGACAGGGAGCTGAGGGATGCTCCTGAGGACGGCTAAGAAGCCTCCACAATGCTGCCACTGTACGAGGGGAAAGACTGCAGATGATGTGGCTCGCTCAAGAAGGAAGGATCCTTCATGCTAAATGCCAGCCCCATCTGGACATGTAAGATTTTTGTTGACAGATTTTTCTCTATAGCTGTATGTGTCAAGACTCACTGTCTTCTTGTATTTCTAAGCTATAGATGTAGGGGAGAGATAATCAGGCCTTCACGTTGAGAGGGGTAACCTTCAGCGTCAGCTGCACTAGCCAGTCCCTGCCGGACACTCATGCTTAACCACCCAGAGAAAGGCTGCCACATACCTTGTTTGTGGTGCTAAATTCATAAACAACTTCCTTCTCTTGATCTCTCATGACAGGCTTTCTGGAGATGTTTCCCACATACACGTGACTACGAATGACAGGTAGCAGGTCAAAGGAGGACTCGGCGATCTTCCTCAGAGCCCGAGTGATGGCCGTATTATAGGACACTGCCATCTCCCTTGGGTTGACATGCAGCTGTGACGCTGGGCTGCAGACCAGGGCAGCAGTGTGCTCTTCCTCAGCTGGGACAAGCTTGGCTGGTGTGGGTCCTCCGGGGGGATCCTCGGGGACGTCTTCTGCAGTGACCTGGCTGGTGCCCGGCTCCGGGGACGCACTGTCCAGCCGCAGTCTTTTAGCACTTCTCAGCATGGATGCTGCCAATGTTCTTTTCCTACCTGCATCCTGCCGTGCATCCAAGTCCTGTGACTTACCTTGGCTACTGTCACCACCGGAGCTGCCCCCCGTCAGGACAAAAGCAGTGGACGTGGAGGTGATGGCTTTGAGTCCCAGCAGGGCACTGACACGACCCGGCAACACCTTCCCATCCACGGAGGAGCCTCGGGACAGTTGCATGTTCCCTTTGAGGAGGCTGAGGGTCCGGGCCCTGGCAGATAACTCTGGGTACATCGTGTCGAGGATCTTAACGGAGTTTTCCTGTGGCCCACTCACAGCAGCATGACCGGGCGCACAGGATGGGAGGCGGCCAGGCACGGGCAGCGCATGCTTTGGCGTAGCAGCACAGAACTGCAAAGGAGAAGACACTACCCTTCCGCTGGCTGCTGCAGCCGATGGGGACGGGGAGGGGCCCAGCGGGGAGGGCTGCTGGAGCTCCTCAGGCCATGGAGACAGCACGGGAGGCCCTGCAACTTCACGCAAGGGGGAAACACGGGCAGCAGGTGAGGCTAGTGAGGACGGACTAGAACTCGGTATCAGAGGAGACAGTGGCCGTGATGTCCGTGGAGGGGTGGCTATCAGTGGGGGCAGCAAAGGAGGCAATGGAGGCCCCACTTCTTGCCGGATCTTGCTCAGAGTATCAGGGGAAGAGTTGGCAGGGGTGGACATATCCGCACCTGCCATGGTGGACTGAACTTGGCTTCCTGGCATTTTCCTGTTTGTTCTTTCCCCTGACACTGGCTGAGGGACTTCATTCAGATGCACTTCCCCGCTGGTGAGTCCTGGGGTCTTTGCCAGTTTGCTTGATTGATCTTTGTTGGAAATCTTTGATCGAGTCTTATTCTTACCAAGTGGTTCTAATTTCCAGTTATAATATGTGTGATCAGATGCAACTTTCTCGGTCTCCAGCGTCTGGTCATATATCTGAGAACGAATCCAGATGCTAGGCTTCACAGGTCTGTTCCGAAGACGACTCTTATCAAAGTTGGCACTCTGGCCACTGCTGGAAACATCCTCCTGGGCAGCAGAGAAACCGCCACCACACGGAGACCCTTGAGGCAGAGGGCCGGCAGGACTGGCTTCAGGGGACTTCTCCACATAGTCACTGTCTAGGCCTCCCAGGTCCTGAGGAGCAAAAGCTTCCAGAGTGTCACACAGAACGACTTGTTCCATACCAGGGGAGATGGCGACGCCACTGATGATAGTCCAGTTGTCCCCCTTCTCAATCACGAGGTCCTGATCCTTATTTATAAGTACACTTATAACTTCTGAGGTCACCGCAGAGATCTGATAGCGAAATGCTGTCTCTGTCACACAGTCTGAGCTCTGCTCTGTCCTTGGTGGGGGTGGAGAGTCAGAGCTCAGTGCCAGAAGCTCCCCAGGCTCTGCCAGGCCCTCCTCCCCAGTGCTGGGGCACCCATCATAATTGGTCCCATCCTCAGATGTGCTTGGAAGGTGCTCAGGGTCAGACCTGCCACTTAGGGGGGAGCTGCCTCCAGCATCCACAGCGGCTGGTTCAGGCAATTCTGCAGTGTGGGACGTGGAGCTGGATGTCTCCTCAGGCCGGGTGTCTTCTATCAGATCTTCAGCTGCCTGGCTGTGATGAGTACTTAAGAGCAACACATCTGTCCCACTGCAGTCCCCAGGGCTTGCCTGAAGTTCTTCTGTGGCCTTGGTGAGACTATCAGAGGGCATCTCCAGAGGACCCTGAGCATGCTGGCTTGAATTCCTGACAGGGCAGTTGTCTCCCTCTGACGCGACCCACTCTTCCGGGGAGGCTCTGAGCATTTCTTCACTGACTCTCCTCCCATGGTTCTCTCTGAAGACTTCGCCCTGCTTGAACTCTTTGTTCATTTCATTATTTAGGGTGCCTCTGCTAGAACATTCTGAAACAGAGGCCCTCGAACTATAATCCCTTAACTGACAACTTTCAAGAAACATAACGACCTCTGACGTAGAAAGCTTGTCTATGTAAAGAAAGGTGCTTAGGTTACATTCCTGCAGCGCTGAGGTGAGATCGCCTACATCTGAGGCACGAGCAGCCACATCCACCCTGGCCTCTGGGTCTCCCAAATGTCTCTGGGAGTCTCCCGCTGCATCCTGCTGTTGGTGTCCCGTCACGGCTTCAGCCTCATGCTCTCCCTCACTATAGCTAAAGGCCTCGTCCTCTACCTCAGTGTCCTCTCGCTGCTCTCGGACGCCTGTGTAGCAGAAGGAAGCCCCAGGAAGACTACTTTGGGAGGTATTCTGTGTTTCCTCATCTGCACTACCAAGATCTGAAGGACAGACAGGGCTGGTGGTGACCTGGGTTCTGAGAAGCGGCCTGCTTGGCACTGTGGGAGGTGTACTGGCGTTCTGTGGAATACTACGAGAATCTCTTGCAACTGCAGGGGCCTCAGTGTTTGCCTGGTGATGAGCTCCAGAGGGCATCTGTCCAGCAGAACAGTCTCTGGATGTGACCTCAGCTGGAAGCAGCTTCTCAGCCTCCAGACTACTGGCCCCCGCCTGTGTAGTGTGGGGAGACTTCCTGAGCTCCGGCAGGAGTTCTTTCATGACACACTGGCTCTGGATGAGGCTGTCTTCAGAGGGAAAAGGTAACTTATCTGTAGAAGAACCAAAATTCTCTGCTGGTATGGAGTCACTTAGAGATACTTCTGGAGAAGGGCTTTCCTCACCAGCTGTCTCCTCAGTGCCCTGTGCTATGGGATCCTCATCTCCATCACACTCTGATAACGATGCATTTGTCTCCTCATCACTGTCTGTGGAAGGACTCGGTGCGCTCCCACGGGGCTGCCATTGTTCCAGGTTGCTACTCTGCATCTTCTCGGGTCTTGCCTGCTTTGTTATGACTGACACTTGGTTTGGCAGCAAAGCAGCAGCTGCTTTGAATCCCAGAGGGATGGTACTTTCTCCAGAAGGTCCAAGCACAGCTGTCAATCTGCTGCTCTGTAAGGCTGATGCTGCCTTCTCTGGCTGAAGCCTGGTCTTTTGCTGGTGTTCCGAGGGAGCTCGAGGGCTGCCCTCGCCACCTCTCCTCAGTACATCACTACGGTGCCATGACGTGCTGTCGGCAGAACCAGGGCTCCTCCTGGTGAAGCCAGCCTGGGAATGTGCCAATGAGGTCCAGTCGGACTTAGGCAGTGTGATCCGGCCTTGACCTCCACACTGCCCACTTCTCGTTGGCTTCTGAAATACTGACTGGAAAACTGAGTGTGCCTTCCCTGTGCTGCTTTTAAAAATGTTTAAAGGTTCCGGGCCCCTGTTCTTCAGATCACTAAAGGTAGATGCTCCTAATTTTGACTTGGTGCTGGAAGCAAACAAGCTGTTTTCCGGGTCATTTTCTTTTGGAAAACGTGCTGGTGGCTCAGACCACAGAAGAAATGTGTTTGAAGTTCTAGTTGGTGACTTTTGTTCAGAACGATGCCGGTCTGTGCAGGGTACTTCTGCTGGGGTCCCTGCCTTACGGTTACTGCAGAGAGACACTGGTACAGAGGTAGAAGAGGAAGGAAGACTGGCTGAATGGTCACGCCCTGCTGCAGCGGCACGAACACCTGACTCCACAGTAGACTCCTGCGCATCTTTTTCCTTTCTCTGAAAACGGCCAGAACCCAACATGTGGTGTGACTTGGAAGCAAATTCACCAGTGAGTGTCCATTTAGTAAATTCCGACTGGGGTGAGCAAAATGCTTTTGATGACAGGGTTTTTCCTTCAGATCCTCTGAGTTCATTGAATGTCCTCTTGCCAAAGGGAGAAGAGCAAGCCTCTGACCCCCCAGCTCTGGCTACCTTCTTTCTTGCCGAGCCTCTGGACGCCCTCTCCACCCACAGCCTCCTGTTATGCTTAAGCAGCCCTTTCCCAACTCGAACAGGTTTACCCATCTCCCGGGCCTCTGCCTTTCCTTCTGCCTCTTCTACGATGTCTCTCCTGTCTCTCCTGTCCCTCACAAATTGAGGGGATGTTGCTACCCAGTGCCTTCCCCGAGCTAGAGAAGATGTGGCCGAGGGTTCTCCCAGTGCTACTCTTCTGGTATCAAATCCAGCAGGTGCCAGTTTGTTTATAGTTGGGGCGACTTCCTGTAACCTGGGCTGTTCCATGCATGTATCACTCCTTTTAAGTTTTTCAAGCAATGCCAAGTAACGCTGAGTCTCTGCTGTGTATTCTTCTAATGCTGATTCCACAGAGGTTCTGAGTGGGACGGAGTCACTGTCGCTGGAATCTGTGAACTCTCCAAAGTAGGATTCCTTCAAGTGACACAAAGCACATTGTCATACAGACGCTCAGCAGACCTACCCTGTCACGACAACTAAACACATTTAAAAGAGTGGGTACTTCTTGAAGAAATTCTCAGAATTATACTGTGAAGGGTGGAGCAGGCTCCGATATGGCTCTTGTTCTACCCAATCTTTAATGAAGCTGGATCCCACTCTTACAGCTTCCCTATAACCAATGCTCTCCTCAGTCCCAGTCTACATATCACCCAGGTTTTAAATGTTTGAAGATATACCCAAAGCTGAGACTCTCCTGGGCAAAGGATCAAGAATGTTAGACATGGAGATTTTCTGTCTCTGGAAACAGTCCATGTCTGCAAGAATATACTTCATTTTCTCCATGTACTACACACTAGCAATACAAATATACACTATCTTCCTACATAAAATGCATAATTAAAGACAAATAAAATGCAACCACAATACACAGTAAAGAAAATCACACCACATATGTTGATGCAAAGGGTCTTGGCACAGTCTTTTATTTTCTGATGTTACTTCATAGTAAAACTGGCTAAAATGAACAGTTTTGCCTAAGTACACTAGTACCTTTGAAATACCTTGGACATAGTACAAACATATCCACATGGAATTAAATTCAGTAAGCCAACTCACAGGTGCCAGGGAGGAAGATAGGTGTGGTGATGTCATCGGAGGGGGCGAGGGCACTGGAGACAGAAGAGGAGGGGGGAGTTTGAAGAAGTCAATTGCAGCTTGCAGATCATCATCAAAAAAGTGTTCATGGTCACAGACGTTGGTCCTGCTGACGTCCCTGTTGCCATCACCAGGCCTCTGCACCGAGACTTCAGGATGACTCTCTTCATGAGGAGCATGCTCAGTGCTAGGGCTCGCTCCACTGGGCTGCTCTTCTTCTGCACTTTCAGAGGAAGTAAAGTCACCCTCCATCTCCATAGACAACTTGGTGAAGAAAGAACGCATATCAGAGGTCCTGGCAGGACTGCCTTGCACTGGGAGCAACTCATCTTCCCCAGAAGTTCTGGATACACTGTTTTCTTTGCCAGGTTTTTCTGAGCAGGAGAGAAGCAGGCATCACATATTTAATGCCAAGAAAAGTTACAAATCGCATCCTGATAGCAGATCAAACTGCTAGCAAAGTTAAGCTGAAATGAGTAGAAAGCTTTAAAAATGTCACCAGTCAACTTGTAATGTTATCTCATGGACTGGGACAGGGATGTGGATGGAGAGTGATCCACTGAGGCACCACAATCCAGCTTGAAGCACAGAGGCAGGGACAGAGGCCTTACTGCCTTACCACACACTGGGAGATGCTTTCTGGTCAACAGCAGTCTCATGCACCTTGGACAGAATGCCTATGGGTAGGTTTGACATTGGTTGGCTTGAGATTCCTTTTGGAAGATGAAACTGTCTCAGCTTGTATGCACCGATCTATTTCTCTGCCACCTACTAGCTCCCTCAAATACTGCTAGCATAGTGTGACAAAGAGGCAACCATACCATTTTTTGGGGAGAGGGGGTTTTGAGTTTCATGAACTTCAGCTGATAATGATTATTTAGCCAAGAAATATGGATCCCATGGCATCATGACAACCACCATCTGTTGCATTTAAGCTGTGAAAGTGTTTTACACAAGAGCCAGACCTCTTCAGGGAAGTGGGATTATTCTAGTGGTACAGAAACTCAAGGTGAGACTGGAACAGAGAAGTGATCTAAGCAGGACAAGTATGTCTGAGGCACACAGGA